CATTCCTGCACTGATACCTGTGGAAGGGTTAATTAACCAAGACAGCTCTGAAGTTTCTGACTAAAGGCCTTATCTCCAAGTACCCTTCAATACCTGCCAAGGCAGGAGGAAGCCCAGATCATCTCCATCATTTGTCAGCACTTCCTACCTGCCACATCCCCATCCATCCAGCCTTTTAACATCATTCTCTGAACTTGTTTCAGAAAGAAGCACTGTGCAATCTCAATTATAAAGCAGTATAGTCTCCAAGCATGAGTTTGTACATGATTTAGTGCTAAACCAAGAAGCCACTGGAGGCCAGGAGGTAGCCTCTGTTTATTTAAGAGGTAGAGAGATGAGCAATAGCTCTCCATACCTTTTAATACTGTATTTATAAGGCCAAGCAGTGAATTTTACAGTTGTCAGGCTCCTGTCCATAACACTCCCTGTGATCTTGCACCCCAAGTGCTACATTACATTAATGACTTAAGAACTTTTAATTTGATTTTGGATGTGCAGCTGGATTTCACTGAAATGAAGGGCCATAGGGTAACAGAGGGTGTGACTTTTATCAGATGTAGACTTCAGTATTGACAGGGCAGCAACAGGAGGTATTGGTTAATTGAAGGATCTGAGGCTCTAGTTGGGTTGTTTTGTTTGGTTGTTGCTCACTTTAATGCTCCCTAATCAATTCTTTTGTGGGGCAGTCTGTCTGTTAGCAACATTAAAGAACTAGACTCCATGTAAGGGTCATCCACTTTTAGGTTCAAAGTAGGTTCTTCAGTAGATTAACTGGCAACTGATAGGTACAAGTACACAAACAACATTCTTCAATTAAAAGAAAGAAAAAAAATCAAAATCCAGACTGAAACCCTGCAGATGGGGAACTCCTTTAGGATGGTTTTCCTCCCACCCCCTCCAAACTTTGTTTAATGACCAGAATACTTATGGTCATTATTATTGACCATATAATTAGTCAAATAAAGTATAATTCCTTATACTTTATAAAGGAAACTTTTACTTACCTCCAAACTTTGTTTAATGACCAGAATACTTTATAAAGGAAACTTTTACTTCAACAGAAAACAAACAAACAAAACCCCACTTTGTTTTCGGGAGAGAAAAAACAGGAAACCAAATGCTTCTGCTTTTCTTTCTAGGTAGACTTTTCCCCAAACAAACAATTTGCTGAATATCAACATGAATTTGCAAACTGTTTTGATCAGCCTGAAGGCACATGTTGAAGAGGTGATGTTTCACTTGAAAACATTCACTCATCTTTACTGCTGGCTACGAGAGTAGAGCTGCCTTTACTGCTGCACCTACACAAAAAGCACATCATCGCAATTTCAAGAAGCTTCTTTATTCTAGAGATTATTCCTGGCTTTTAAAATTCCTAACCAAATTTTACGCAGCTCCAACTGCTGAGGTTACATAGATCTAACACTTTGGCTCATATCTATTCCTTAGTTTTAACTGCAGTATATTCAGGTCTGGTACCTACATAACATTCTTTCCAGACTTGAAGACTACTTAACCACATTACCTCTGAGCTCTTGATCATGTTCTTCATCTGTAGTTAATCATATTTAAACAACCAAGGACAGGAGAAAAAAAAAAACCCCACCACACACAACCAATCTTGTCCTCATTGTGTCCACACCATTTCTGTTATCTGAAATAAGCAACTTAGTACTTGCTCCACACTGATGCTCTGCCTTCACTTTTTCCCCTCCCTGTACAGGCCTGCGTAAATAAAGAGGAGCCAGAGGATGGATAAACCTTGCACTCCACCAAAGGTGCTGCAGGAAACAATCCCCTGTGGCCTGGATCTTTGTCAGAGGAAATGCAGGATGGTGAACTCCATTCCATTTTTTTAATTTTATTTTATTTTTGTTCCCTGTCTTTTCAAATGCAATGAATGTACACTGAAGAATGGCCACACGGTCAGTTTTTAATTCTCCAAGTGCCCTGAGGAACCATTCCTACCACAGGCTGGTGGTATTAGCCAATAAATAGCACAGGCCTGAAGAACTCAGGCAGAACAAGTTCACCAAGAGCCTCTCTCAAGCTACAGCTGAAATCGGAGCAGCTTCCTTGCACCACGGATCCACCCAGGAGGAAGCACTGCCTAACACCTTGGGACACCTTTCCTATGTTCTGTAGTTAGTTTCTTCTCCTTCTTCTTTCCCTGGTTCTGAGAAGAGCCTAAAACCCCTAACACAGCTTCATCTCCTCCCTGCCTGCATAGAACGAGGTGGGGGCTACTTACTTTTGAGTTCTTTAGGCTTTTTTTTTTTTTAAAGGAAAAAAAGCTATAGATGAGAGCTCTTCCTTTCTTCCCCCCAACCCATCCAGGACACCCTTCCTCACCCTATGTTCTCTAGCCACAGTCAGCACCTTAGCAGTAGGCATTTGTCCTGGATTTCAGTGTTCTGTGACCTAAATCCTAGAATGCTGAACAGCTAAAAAACTTAGTAAAACCACCAAATCTTCACTGAGCCTGGAGCTTAGCTCCATTTCAACATGCCAAGACATCCACAAAGCAGCTGTAACTTACTCTGGGTTTGCCCAGCTACATTAAATTAACACTGGTGTAGCCATATCCACAGCTTCAGCCTGCTGCAGGACACTGGAAAATGCCAAGTTCTTCATGGATCATGGACATTTTTGAACCTGCCTTCTTCACCGAGCAGCCACGCTTATTCCAGGCACAGGCCTGGCAACATCCTGATGGAAGGGTTGGGTTGGTTGGGTTTTTTTTGTGACAGGATAATTTTGAGGGGAGGGAATGGGCTGATGAAAAGGGGGGATATAAGTGTAATTAAATTGTATTAATGAGCTGCAGCAATTAATTAATTAAAAACAAACAAACAAAACCAAAACCAGGTCAGTTTTGTTAGCTACATCTGCCAGCATCTTATATGTCAAGCAGAGAAAGAGCACTCATCCACCATCCATGGTGTTCAGCTCAGGGAAGGGGCCAGCCAGTTCCTTCAAAAGGTCACAGAGGTTGAAACTTCACAGGTTGAGGTCAAAAGGTCAAGAGGTCACAGCTCTCAAAACATCACAGGTTGAGGTCAAATAGTCAAAAGGTCACCCCTAAAGGTCAAAAGGTAACAGGTCAAGGTCAAATGGTTAAAAGGTCACACCTAAAGGTCAAAAGGAATGGAAGAACAGAGCTCTTCTAGTCAAGAAGATTTTTCCTTTAAAGACTTAATTTCTACAGGGCTTTTGAAATGAGTTTTCCCTTTCCTCATCAGAAAACATTGACTTCACACTTTTTGGCTTAAATACAATTTCTTCTCCTCAGAGAGAAGTGTTGTCCAACAGGCACCAGCGTTCTTGCTGAGCCTTGTTTGAACGCAGCCAAACCTCAGCACAGCTGGTGGAGAACACGTAGTTTCAGCTTTGAGCAGATGAAACACTTCACTAATTGCATCAGGAAGGAATTCTTCTCGATGGTAATATGAAGTCAGAAGGAACTCAGAATTATTTTGAGGGCTGCACATTTTAACACTACATCTCAAACTGTCCAAGCCTCGATGCCACATTTACTAAGAAAATTGATCAAAAGCACTTGCCAAGGCTCTAAAAAGAGACTGAGCATCAAACCATGCACGTAATGGCATGTCTCTGGATTGTCACTTACACTGGTAAAGAGAAATTAAATATATACAAGTGTGGTGACCAAGGAGCTCCAGAACCACCACCCTACGTTATGGTAAATACAAGGAGTGAAGCATCTCCTGGTAGAAGTGAAGTGGAGGCCTGGGTGAGCCTGTAAGATTTTGTATCAATGACTGATATAAATTATAATAAAAAAAAAAATCAGTCTGACAAAAAAGAAACGAAGATAAGTGACCAAAGGTCATATTCTACCCTTAATGAGCTCCTCCCATTCTCATTAGCAGAACCATTCATCCCTCAGACTCTGATAGCTTCTGCTGGACCTACTCTTAAAATCACCCAAAGGTCAAAAGGTCACCCCAAAGATCACCCCAAGGTCAAGAGGTGACCCAGGGACAGACCTGGAGAGACTCACACTGAGAGAAACCCCTTGGTGAGAAGAACCAGGCGCATGGTCCCCCTGACCCCCTGTGCCTCCAGCCCTGCTGCCAGCATCCGCTCTCCTCTGCTTGGGCACCCTGTGCTGCAGCTTCTGCCACTGCAGTGTAGGACACCACACACACTGAGGTCACAGGACAAGGGCAAAAGGTCACATAGGTCAAGGCTGAAAGGTCAAAAGGCCAAAAGGTCAAGGTCAAAAGGCCAAGGATCAAAAGTCAAGGTCAAAGACATCAAAAGGTCATAGATAAACATCAACAGGTCACAGCCAAAGGTTTGTTTGACAGAGATACCAAAATTCTGCCTCAAGTTCCACTGGAGAATTCTCCCCCCCACTTCCCCAGCTTTACAGATCAGGTCCTTCTCCTCCTGCAGCCTCACCTCTGCTTTTGCCATCAGGAGACTCTGAAGGACCCACCAACTGGCTTGTGAATCCCAACAGGAAGCAAATGGATGCCAAGAACAGTTGCTGCTTCTCTCCTGCCCCTGTAGCACTGAAGGACAAAAAGTTCAAGTGATCTCCAACCTGCTGCTGCTCTAATATCTCAGGCCATCCCCACACCCTGTCCCCCAGTAAGGTCAGGTACAAGAATCAGATACTTGGACCTCTGTAAGATAAACAGAAAAACTTTTTATTCAGTGAAAAAAAGAACAGGTCATTTTAAAAACACGTTTCCTTTCCCCTGCAGGTACCAAGCTCTGGTATTGACAACACTGGCTTTAGGGCTCCATGCTCAAGTGTTCCATTTAAAATAAGAATCAGCAGTTTTGCCAGCAAATACAAGTCCTAAAATGGCAACTTTCCATCGTTATCTTCTAGGAAAATACCCAACAGCCAGAAAAGAAGCTCTGCAAGAAGCTTCCATGAGATCATCTAGTGGCCCTGACCATCAGAGCCTTTCACCTTCTGTCTAGGGAGGGCAGCTGAGAGTCAAGAGGTTGGAGAGTTGACACAAGCCAGGTTTTTGCTTCATTACATAGATTTGAGTATTACTGAAACATTCCATCAGTTATGGAAAATTCAACACATGGGAGAAAAAAAAAAGAGACAGCAAAGAGCTGGGAAGAAAGAGTTAGATTCTCCCTCCCCCACAATACATCACTGCTGAGCGTTCGAGTCTCCACAGAACATGGTTGGTATAAAAATATTCCCGTGTTGACTCAGACTTACTGAAGGAAGCACCAACCCCAGCAGAATTGTCTCTAAACAACCGATAAATCCCAGAAAGAGAACCAGAGCCAGTCTGCTGAAACCAGCCCCTGACTTCACCACAGAGCAGGGAGTCATTTGAGAACGCAAAAATGGGAGAAGGGGAATCTCTGTCAACAAAAGCTTCTTTTTGGAGGACAAAAAGAAAGCAGCAGAGTTTTTCTGGAGCTGTCCTACACAGGGGGATCAGCAAGAGTCCAGCAAACCAGCAGCTCTTACTAGAAACACTGTGCAGAGGAGGCACCTTGAGTAAGTTTTACACTTAGGCTGAGCTACCCTGCAACTAAGATTGCTCCAGCAGCATTTGAACTATTTACTTCTTTCCTTCCTGGGCTGTGTCATAAATGCATTGCACAGACTTATCTTTCCCCTTAGGCATATGATGGTTCAGGACATGAAAGTCCTCACACTTCCCCGGATGACTGCTCTGCAGATAGGACACAATCTCAAATTGAGGGCACATTCTCCACAAGCTACCAGATGGCCACAAGGAACAAAGACCACAGACACATCTCTGTCCATGCACACTTTGCACATCCTTTCCTCTTGCAGGCGTCGCAGTTGTTCTTCCGTGTTCACCTCAGACTCATCTTTACAAAAAGAGAAAGGAAAAAAAAAGCCCAAACTGTGAGTATTGTAACATCTTCAGAACACCAGTCCTGGCATCTTAGGAAGTCACACTACAACTCACTCATCATTTTGTTCAGAGACTGACTCTGCAGATGGCCAAGGTACCTCTCAGGCAAGTTTAATTTAAGCTGAAACACTACAGCTATTGGTGACTCTGGCTTATGTACACAGGATTCATCTTATCTGCAGATGCTGGACTGAGCAGGGACAGCAGATTAACATGTTTTTACTGTAAAATGTAAATTATCCCTGTAAATCAGATTTTTTGCATGTCTGCTTCCCAGAGGAATTCTAATTCCTGTAAAAGGGTCAAGCCAGCACACATTCCCCTTCAGGACTGAAAAAATTAAGGAATACAATGACCACTGACACTATTACTATAAAAACCATCCCAGTTATGCCCAGGCTCAGTTTCACCACCACTGTCAGCCCAGCACACCTGATTCCTTCTGTTGCACAGATCCCATTTCTTCTCTTGAACTTGATGTTTCGGTCTCTCTCTGAGCAGCATCTGGATAACCAGGAAAGAAGATGGCATTACATGCTACCCCCTTCCTCCCTCTTCAGCCAACACTGTTGAAAAAGATGAAGGTTCTTTTATTTCAGTAGCCTTAGGTTAAACACCACTTCACTCCTCTGTTAGCTTCACACACTCAGCCTGGTGAAGCTGATGTTCTCTGTGGTGCCTTAGCCACCACGTATGTTCACCTCCCTACCAAGACACGTCCACATCACATCGTCTCCTCAGCAAAGCTGGTTTATCTATCAGATATCAGGAGCCATCAGCTGCTCATTCCTGTTCCTGTGCTACTATTTAATCACACTTGGGTTTGTTGGGGTTTCTTTGCCTTAGCTAAAGAAATGGCAGATCATGATGTGGAGAAAAGAGGTTAGGAAGTCAGGCTTGATACCAGAGAAAGCCTGTGTGGAACTGCATCTTCAAATAAACTTCACTTGGCAAACAAACTCCATAAAACATTTAACAGAGACAGACGTAGATAAGGAGAATATACATTATCCAAACAAACAAGAAAAATGGCTATTTCTGATCAAGTCATTGATTCCATTTTAAATAGGCTTGGAGTACTCATCCATCTTAGAAGCTTCGCTTCAGACAACTGCATCAGATGTGAGCTTATGCAAGAGCCTCCACATCATGCAGCTGTTTGCTACTGCAGGTCTAAGAGCAGCAGAAAATGTTGAGGATACCTACACCACAGCTCATCGGAGGCAGATATAGTAACTGATACCCCAGTCACCACAGCTCCTTCAGGTTTCTTTAAATAAGAATCTCATTCTTGAGGTTCTCAAAGAAAGGCAGGCTTGGGTACAGAACTACTCTTAAATCCAGCCTAGGAAGAGAGAAGGCAGACCCGCAAGACACTCACAACAGTGCTCAAGGTGAAGTGAATAAGAGGTTAAATGTGCACCAAGAAGGTGGGTGTGTGAGTCAGGCGTACCTCTGCTCTCCTCTGCACTGCTGCTCTCTTCCCAGTCTGGCTGAAGCAGATCAGAAATCAGTTCTGACTCAGAAAGGTAGAAAGTCCCAGTCAGCATGTATTTATTCTCTATCAGGTTAGCTACCCAGGTGGGGTCAAAGCCCATCTGCAGGACATTCTGTACTATGGTAAACTGCTCCAGAGAAGGAAGAGCCTGCAATTCCCAGTTCCTCAGAAGATCTGTAAAGCAGTGAGCAGATACTTTACCAAAAAGGCAGAACTCTGGGCAAAAAGTATGCCAATCCCTGAAGCTGCTATATAGAAAATGACATTTTATACATATGTCTAGAACATTCCTCAAGCTATCTCTATAGCTAGATCAACATCCAGATTTACAGTTTTTACTTCCAATCATAATTCACAAGAAAGTCAAAAGCAATTTCATAAAAGCCAAGAAACTAACTTTGGATATTTTCTTCTACTGTACCAGTGAAGAAAGTCTCCCATGTTTGGCCCCAGTCCCACATCTTTATCTTTGTTTTCACATCCCAGAACAGAAGTCTCAATACTGCTTTCATGAAGATCAAGTGGAACATCCCAACTGAAGTCTCTCCTACTTCATAACCTAGCTCAACCATTCCTCAGTAAAAATGGAAGTGGGAAATTCAGCTGGCAGCCCATTCAAAGGCTTCAGTCTCTTAAGCTCATCCTATCAGATATGCTTTTCCAAAGAATGAGTAAAGACAGTTTTCTACAGTTACAGGAGCCAAATTTCACCTACTTAAACTTCCAGGAGCAACCAATGAATGGGAATAGATCCCCAGGATGAACACTTCCATGAACAACTAGACTCCCCAGGTGTTCTCTCATCTCCTATCACGTTTAAAATGCTGTAATCTGAAAGACTCTACAAACAGACAACACCACCAAGAGCATGGACAAGTCAAAGCAAAGTTAGGCAAGCACCCAAAAGCCACACAATTATCCAGACTAGCTAGATGACTCTGGTCTTAAGAGGTCTCACAAGAACAAGCAGTTTTGCTTCTTGTGCTAGAGAACATTTCCTAAAAATAAAGTGAAACAGCTTCTAGAATAACAAAACATCTCTCAAACACCACATCTACAGAGTGCACAGTAGCTGGGGTGGAAGACAGGACTACACCCCTTTCAACAGAAGATAAAACACCGTGTAACTATAGCACTGACCTTGGGAAGTAGAAGAATCTTGTTCAGTTCGACTCCAGGAATCTCTCTGAAAATGTCAGAAAACAGTCACAAAAGAGAAGCATGTGTTCAAAACTCCCCTTATCTACCAAACCCCCACCCACTAGACACAAAATATTGATGACTCACTGGAGATAGCAGGGTGCTAGAAAAGGACTCCTGAACACTGCTAACAAATTCTCTCCCTTTCGACCGCAATAAAAATTCACACCTATAAGCAGAAAGATTTAAATACATCAGTAGGGGATCTCTCAAGTGAAACTAACAGTAGTAGTTTGAATTTTAGAAGCAAAGGGTGCTATTGGGTTATAAGCAAACTGCTATATTCATTAAAGAAGAGGGAGTTTCATGGTCTTTCCCCCCCCCTCCTTACATGAAGGGCAACAATAAGAGGCTCATATTCCCCCCCTCTTAATCCAGTCTTCATGTTTGGCCCAAGATGAGCTCAGTTGCACATCCTTTGGAATAGATAACAGAAAATGTGATAATAGACCAGTTCACAGAAAAACACAAGAACTGCTACAGGAAAACAAGGTTCACAACATCTTTATTTCTTTGGTCTCTTCCTGTGCAACTTTGACCTTGAGGATTCAGGATCTTTCTCCTGATATTTCAGAGACTTCCAGAAGGTTACAGACTATTGCAATGGTTTATGCAGTTAAACATGATTGAACATACCTGACTAGCTCTTCACCAGCTCAAGCTGGATAGAAAAATCTAGAACTAAGCTTATAAGAGAGCCTGGAAGGAACACTTCTTACCAGTACACTTGTGACTCATTTGTCTCCCAACTGAGGGTACTTCTATCTTATGAAAGAAGAAACCAGTGCAGAATGCATGGCATATCTTGTGGTCTTGCTACAAAGGACACTTGTCAAGCAAGACTGACTTACCCTGGGTACCATTTGGCATGTTCCCTCCAAGGATCATCTCCGAACGACCAGTTCCTCACACCACCATCACAGTAGAAACACCTCACTACATCACCTTGTCCTGAAAAAGATATCAGGAGATTATTTGACATCTGAGACACTGGACAGTCTACTAGCCCCAGATGAGAACCCAGGGAGAGATTTTCAGCACAAAACACAGGCTACTGGACAGAACAGAGGAGCACAATTTACCAATGCTGTGGAAGTTGTATAGGGGCAGGAAATCGATGAGATTTTGAACTCCCAGAGCTGTGTCTGGTTGAGACAATTCCAGAACTGGGTCACAAGCTAACAGCAGCATGCATGTGAGCACCACAGCTCCCATGTGTGCACGTACCTATCCAACTCCCTCTTGCCTGCATTTAGAGTAAAGCAGTCATTAATTATACCTATAAACACACTTTGTTTCCTAACCACGATCTGCCATAACCAGCAGCAGGCACAGTCAGATGATGTACACAACTTCCATCTCATAGGTGGAAGAATTTGGCACAATATGATCCCAGGTTATCCATCCTGCTACTGTGCTTCTCTTCAAAGAAGTGACAGGGGAAAAAATTAAAGCCAAACACAGTTTGACAAATGCCCTGCTCTAAAGGCAATGAAACCACGTCAGTGAAGGCTGTCAGTGAGTTTGGGTCTCAGACACAATCTTCCAAACACTCTCCTATTAGAGCACTGTTTGAGTGTTCAGCTCCAGAGGTCTCCAGCTCAAGTGACCACAGGGGACAGCCATGTCAGACTGCTGCTGCCTAATGAGTCCCTAAAGTCAGTCTCTGTGCTGGGCTCTTAAACAGCTGATCTGTAAGTGATAAATCACACCTAACACAAAGCACACAGGTTTGTAGCTGCAGACACAGCTTTATAGTTCATGCTGTGTTCCTGGCCATGCTGCTCTTCTGTGTGCCTTAAAAATTCATGAAGAGACCAAAGCAGCAGGTAAACCAACACATCTACAACACTCTTCCATTTAGGCATGCATGCTGTTTAGCCCATGCTGCTGTGCTCCAACTAGACAGGTACAGATTCTCAGTATTATCTGGATTTATAGCGTGATCCAGGTTATGCAGTTTGACTGGAAATCTTGACAAAGCAAAGGGCCATGCTAGCAAACTAACCGGTTGCTTCCTCTAAGTCAAGCTAAAGGAACAGATGGTCAGTTATTCAGACAGACTTTCCTACGTGCACGTCATTCACCATGTTGCATCTCAGATTTTTCCACTTATCACAACTTTTAAGGCTGTTTTTTTTCCCCCCCATTCCCATCTTTACCAACGAATAGTATTTAAATAAGTGGAGAAAGGGGCAATTCAATTTTACTTCAACAGTGAGAGCACGATGCATTCAGGTTGCATGTGTTTGTTTCTGCTAAGGGACCTTTAATTTATGGACCCTGCCTGCCAATTCCTTTCACATCTCTGATGTGCAAATACAAGACAGATTCCTTCATACAGAAAAAAAAAGTCACATTTGTAACACACAGAAATATCACTACATTATTAACTTCCAAAAAACAGAATGGTCCCCCCAACATTTAATTACAGTCAAGCATTAACATACTGTAATTATTTCCACTGCCTGGTCCATCCAGGGAGGAGTATTTATTCAAATCTGTTATCTAACCAGCAAAAGCCTTATCAGGGGAAAGAATGATGCTATATTGATAATAACCTGCATATAATGACAAATATTGCCTGTTTTCCTCAAAACAAACAAAAAAAACAACTGAAACTTATTTCTGTATTCCAAGTCCAGGGTCCTTACAGCAACAAGCCACAGTGACAGCCAAATGGGCCAACTATAGGTTTCACTCAGGCTTCAGTGCAAGACAGAGTTTATACAAAACACAACATGCCAGGTAAGTGCCTCAAGTCCTTTTAGAAGTGCAAGCAATAAATAGGCTCAATGCATCTTAAAGCATACACTTTTCTGCCAATAAAAGATCTGTTTAAAACATGTCACTTTTTTTACTCCTGCTGGTAAGAGAATTGATTTACCAGCAGACCCCTCAGCACCCAAACAGGAGTTAATGTAAAAATGACTTCTGCACAAGCAGCAAGTGAAAGGGTAGAGGCTGAAGAAAGGATGGGGTTTCTAACTACACTACACATACTTACAAGTATTTGTACAAGCAATAAAACATAGTGACACCTTCTAAAGTTGATTTGAAGAGTTTAGAACATTTCCCCACAGTACCCACCTGTGTAAAAGAATCCTGCTCTAGCCAGTTCCTCGGGATGCATGTCAGTATATTGTGGCCAGTTCTGAAATGTAGACAGTCTCATCTCCTCTGTCACCATCTCTGGGTATTCTGGTTCATTAGGCAGGGCTGTCTCCTCACTGTCTATCCCCTGCAAGAGGCTGAGGAACTGCCCATCCACAGTGTCAAAGATTTCCTGAAGAGGAAGCATCTCTTGGTTCCCAACATCCTCACCACAAATGAATTTACAGGAAGGGAAGTACTTCAGGTGCTCTGCTATCGGGGAGTCACCAGGTCTCCAGTCCTTCAGGACACCACCACAGCAGAAACACTGAACTTCATCTCTTGGACCCACAAAGAAAAAGCCAGCCTTGACCAAATCTCGGGCAGACACAGGTGAGGTGCCTGGCCATTGCCAAAAAGTCCTCAGTCTTCTTGCTTCATTCCTCATGCTGGATTCAAACAACTGGCAACGAGCAGCCCTTAGCTCCGTCTCCTCTGCTGGTGTCATGTCCCCCATGTTCTCGTTCTGAAAGAGAGGATGAGACAACCCAGAGCAGTCAGCTGGATCCCCAGCGTCAGGCAGCACTCCCCCTGCGTTATTTGTTCCTCATTCCCATGCATATTCCGGAAAGCTCCTGGTCTTGACAAAGCTGAGCTCAATTTGGAATTGCAGCCCAAACAGAGATCTGGTGCTTCTGTACTTTGCTGTTGAACTTTTGCTGAGTCCTCACTAGTGTCTGAAGGGAAGAGACCAGCACTTTCTGAGCTACCTCTGCCAATTTACAGGGGAGATGCTTGTGAGAATAAATAGTAGAGGGGGAGGGCAAAACCTGTGCTGCCTCCCTCGCTGAGCCAACCCAGCTTTTGGCACCTGATCTGTGTGATCAAACTCCAGTCATTTTGCTCAGCTTTTAAATTAACATTAAAAAGACTCTGCTTTTTTTTCCCCTCCCTTCCCTTAAAAACAGATTTAGGAAGGCATGCCATAACAGAGGAGAAAACAGCCACATCCAAATAAATAGTGTCTTCACGTTCAGTTTACAGCCAAACACTACACAACACATCACTAGATTTTTTTTCATAACCTTATTATGCTAATTAACAGTGAATATCTAGAAATATCTCTATAAAAAAGAAATACTGCAGGACACAATCTAAAATAATTAGCTCTGGTTTCTATAGGGCAGTGTCCTTAAATCAAAAATAAGACATTTTCTGGCTGTGGTGGTGCTGTGCAAGAAGAGTGAAACTAAATTACTGAGTGGCTGATTATCCAAGCCCTCATCCTGCTTAAGGTAACAGCCCTTCCCTGCCTGAGTAAGCTAAATTACAACTCACCTACCACTTCTAATACTTTCTATGTGGCTGGCAAATACACTTTCAAAAGGTCACACAGTTACACAACTAAGAATCAGGATCAATTTAACTAATCACTCCAAAATAATTCCTTTGGAGTGAAGTAACTGCACATGTGACTAAGTGGTAGGTGCAATCAAACCCATTTTTTTAATTAAAGTACCCTGAAAATCCTTTCCCCACCTAACTCACCAGGTCAGTTTGTCCCAAGGAAGTGCTAACTATCTACTGGTTATCAGAGCTAAGCATCATAAGCACACAGACACAAAATATCACACAGGCAAATATTAAATTAGAAAGAAAAAAGAAATATATATGTACATACACTAACCTAAAAAGATATGGTGTTTCAAAGCTGGTACAGAACTTTATTAAGCTAATAGATAATTACTGCAGTGCACTTCTGAATAGGCACTCTGGAAAAAACAATTAGGTGGAGACCTCCTGTGTAGCAGCTACTCTGCAGTAAACCCAGTCACAGAGACCATTAAGAGGCACCCAGGCCAGCAGCATCTCTGAACTACTATTCCTCTTAGTTTAAGTGCTGCAGCACATTTAGGAAAAAAAAAACAAAACAAAACAAAAACCCCAACAATTTACAGGTCATTTTAGTTGCAAGACCTGTAGCCAGAGCTAATAAATCCATCCTTCATAGGTAAGACACATTTAGTGAGTTTTTACAAGCAAAAGCAAGCTGGCTCAACCATGTGCCTCTCATAGTAAAAGGTGAGAAGGAAGAGAAAGTTGATTAGCAACTAGAGTTTTCTTCTCTAATCATAAACACAGAAACAAGAGTTGTAGGAAAAGAAAGCTCCAAGTTTGGTTTAGAACTGTTCTTTATTTAATACAATAAAGTAGTTACTCAAGAACTATGTCGCTAGTATAAAGAAAAATCCATATAGAAAGAAAAAAGCCATTAGTCACTGATACGCAGGAGAATTTGCAAGCTAAGCAAACTTAGGGACGTGCAATTTTTCAGCCTGCACAGCAGATTTTCCTCTCAGATCAAAGAGACTTGCTCATCAGGCACAGCTCCACAATATCAGTGTGGCTCTCATCTTGGGCCTTAACAAGAAAGCTCATGAACTCTGACAAATACTCTTTTCCACCAAGAAGGTGACTGAGTTATCTCAGCCTACTTCCACTTTGGAAATACACAACAAAGCAAGCTTCACAGCAAAACACAAAGAAAGAAAATGAGTTTTTCCATCCAGAAGCTTAGCAGCTGAATCAAACTCTTCTTAAAATAAGAGGTGAAACATACAAGAACAAATATATTTACCTTTTGTTTAGGAAGAAACTCATTAGGGCTTACCTGCATTAAAAACATATAGAAGTTCTGCAGAAGATCCATTAACTTGGTTAACAAGGCTCTCCAAACTAAACTGATGTTTTAAATAGTTAGAACACCACTAAAAGCCAATATTCTCCCACAATCCACTACCTGCAATATGCTAAAAAAAACCCCAAAACACTCCCAAGAACTCTCCCAACTCTACAAGCTTCAAACCTCCCTCTTCTCTTGTAGGCAACAGATAGATCTGTCTCAAAGAAGAAGCTCTTCCAAGGGGTAAGTGACCCCACCTGACACAGCTTATTTCTAATGCTTCATTTTCTCCGATTGGTTGGTTTTGTGCTGAAATTCTCTATTGGCCAAACAGTCCCAATTTCATCTTTAAAAGTGGGAGTCACCAGGGAAAG